AGCAGTTCATAATTTTTCGTACGAATTTTACAGTTGTTCACGTACAAATTTACAAAAATTTTCTGACTTAAAAATTGACTCTTTCGTCAATTCCATCCAAAAAGATCAAACAAATGAATAAGATTTCGAATAACTGAGATTAATAAAAACGATCGATAATTTATTCATTCTTGTAGATTCGAAGGTTTGTTCGTTCTTTTGCAAATCGAAATCTTCAGTTTCGATACTTTCGAGGCAAGCCTAAATCTGACTGACAGTATCTCTACGAAGTATCGAAAAAAACAAAAAAGAGAAACAAAACGCAACGTACCACCTGAAGATTTCGTGGAACGAGTCCGCGTTTCTCGAGCCTCACAGCAGCAACATAGCAGCGTATCTGCCGTGTCCGCGGGTTTCTCTGTACACTCACCCCTCCACAAATCACCATCAACATCAAAGAGCCATATCGCGAGGGAGAAAAGCCTCTACGTGGCGCGAAACGGAAACAAACAGGGAAAGGAAACAAGACCGAGCCGATGGGACCGCATACTGTTTCGAGTCTGTTTCACCAGCGCGAGGGAATCGTTGAACCGAAAGAACATCGAACTCGCGACGCGTCTCAAGCACCCCAACAGCGTGTGGAGGAGGGGGGTGGAAAAAACGAAAAGAGAAAAAAAAGCTTGCGAGAGGATTCTCTTCGTTTTCTGCGCTGCGAGGAGAAAAAAAAGAAACAGAAAGTCGCGGCTACGTGAAGGGAAGTTGCGTGAAGAAATCCGCAAGAACCGGCAGAGGCGAAGAAGGGGTAGAAAAACGGGACGACGACGCGGAAACGATTATTACTCGACGCGCACGCACACACTGCGAATAGGAACGTGTTTGGATAGCGATGGCGCGCGCCACCAACACCAACGACCTTTCTCGCTCGAGGATCAGTCGAAGACTGCTCGGCCGAAAGTGGGAGGCCTCTTTTTCGAAAGCATCGTTTTCTCCACGGTGGCGAGGCTTCCGGACAGAGGTAACCGGGCATGCGTGCCACGAACCACCCGATCAACGCACCGTGCACACGGGGTGTGCCAAGAAGCACGCCTGCTGCTGCTGCTGCTGCTGCTGCTGAACATCCACAGGGTGTTGCAGAGGTTAACGATTGCACTTTAACTAGACTCAAATTCATTGGCAGACGGTGGATAATACTCGTATCTTTAGGAAAATAATTTAACGATTGAAACTTTAACTTAACAAGAAACGGGGCAACGTTTCGAGGGCAACTAGGTAGAGCTGAAGATTTTAATCAATTGGTGGATATTCGTGGGAAACGTTCGTTTGGAAAATTTCAAATCGATTGAATTTTAATAAGAACGGAAGTTGAAGATTTTAATTAATTGGCAGAAGATGGATGTTTGTAGGAAATTTTTTCCGTATTTTTGCGAAAATAATTTAGAAAATTTCAGAAGTTAACAAGCGAACTATAACAAGAATGGAGCAACGTTTCGTTAACGAGTGAAGATTTTAATTAATTGGTGAGAGGGTGACTCCCCATATAAATATAATTTGGAAAATTTCAGAGATTAACTCTTTAAATTCTAACAAAAATTAAATTCTGTTAACAACGATGATAATTTATAAGTTTTTTTCGTAAAAAAGTTCATTAATCAAAAAGTTGCCCCTTTTTAGGATCCGAAAAAGTATTCATGCTCTACTCTATTTTATTTAATTATTCAGAAGATGGTAATTGCAGAAAAAGAAAAAAGAATTTCTCATTTCTTAATTATTTCTTTAAGTAATTGTGAACATTTTACATGTTAATTCGGTAGAAAATGCTATGCTAAAAAAAAAAAAATATGCGAAGAAAAATTTGATGTCCCTGTACAAATTACATATCATTTTTAGAAATTTATACGTTCGAGAATATATCGAGAAAATGGGATTATATCGTTCCAAGTCTTCTTTGCGAATCGCGTATGATAAGCAGTTTCCAAAATTCCACTGATAAAAGCAAATCAGAATTGGTGGTGGTCACACGAAACGTGGCTGAAACCCATATATCCGTCAGATCTTTTATTCCGGACCATGTGTACATTTTGACACCCCTGCCGATTTTATGACCGCACTATATTCCTTCCACCAATCGTTCGTAACAAAACATGCTCTCTGCAGATACACACAATGGGATGCAAGAAATATTTGCACATATGTACACACGATTTTCAAAGGTACGTTTTCCGATCGAACTACCCACCAAATCTTTCGCAATCGCGTGAAATATTTTAAAGTAGGAAATAAATACCTCGCACTTTTCTCTATTTTCTATTATCATATTTTGCTAAATTTTTCGTATCTTAATAAATTGAATAACACATGTAACATAATAACACGTAAATGATAAATTAGCTTAACGGATTTAAACTTTCCTTTTTAGTAACAATCGATGAATTAGGATTAGAAACTATCCTAATTGATACTCAAGAAAATATCGTAAATTTTTATAAATCGAAATGGTAAACCTGCAGTCAAAGCAAACTAGTTTCTTTATATTATAGAATATATTTATTCGTCTAAGATACGACTTCAATTATCTGATTATCATAAATTATCGATAACTCGTACAAAACAAAACGTGTTAAATATTCGATATTTTTCACGAATATTAGTGATATGTTTATGCTCGAAATGCTATCTCCACACGTCTGTCCTTCGATGTCGATATTCATATTTTCTGTGTCTGGCATGAACAAACGAATATTCATGTACCGTGATTCGCATTAATTTATCGACTGCAGCCAAAACAATATTCGCTGTTCGGCACGAATATCGAATAATGTAACCGTAGCCGCATTTGCGTGTTTTAGCAGGAGTATTGAATATTCGAATGATGTTTCAAATCACGAGGCTATCTCTCCCTATTTCCTGCTACAGAAAGATTAACCTTCGTCCATTGAATGGAACCATTATCCAAAGGTTTAGAATCGTTCTAGAATTCACGATTAGAATTTGACTGACTTGACTCTAAAAAAAATTTTAAAGTGCTTTTCAAATTAAAATAATAATCCTAAACTGTTGGCTAATGATATAATATCTATTAAAAATTGATTGGCTGATTGAATGAATGTTAAAATGAAAAGTCTTTCCTTATTTTGGTTAGATATGAACTGCATTCAGTTGTAATGCAACAGCATTTCCTTGATAATGTAATTAAATGAAAATTGAAAATTGTAAAAAGTTGAAAAAGTAATGAGGATCTTTCAACTAATTTTTAATCACAAATATATCTGCTTTTTATGAAAGACATCAATTCAATTTGCTCACCAAATGCTTTAAATAATATGCCTGAATATTTATTGATTCTTATGGCAAAGTAAAAAGACAATGAATGTGGATAGAAATATTCTACATCTTCAAAATCAATTGTATTACGAATATATTAATATATTAATTATATAAACACATTTTTATAAAATGGTCGAATGTGATTCGAAACTACCCAAACAAGTACATGTATATATATTCTACATATCATAAAAGTAAAACTATCTAACTACTTATTGTAATCTGCAAACATTTCGATTAAATAATCTAACTTGTGATTTCTAATGTTATTGAATAAGTAATCCTACGAATGAAAGATCGACTTACCAGCCAGCAATGCCTTTCGGTTGTATCTCCTGCAAGAAGATACCCAGCTCTCCTTTATCCTTACTGCGAAGACCGACCACACTGAATCCAAGACTGGTACCCTCTGGTTTATACAACTTGAAGAAAAAATGATAACACTTAATACGTTTAAATATCAAACAAACACCACGCGAGATATATTCTATTAACCTGCACAGTGAATACTTGACGTCCTCTAGCTGCAGCTTCGATAACTTTCTTGAACTCCTTAGCATACGTTGTTGTTGTAATTGGAGGCATTCCCATAACCTCAGATACAAGACTTGGGCTTGTAACCTACAAAAAAATGATAGTTTAGTGCTAAATGCAGAAAGAAGAATTTAGGAATACATTTAAAGCATATTCTGAACATTTTACCTGTGCACTAGTATCCTCGCTGCTGCTATGCACTAATGGAACAACTGGAACCCTTTGATCTTCTAATTCACTGCTATCTTGATATAGATCTTGATACACGTTTGATCCAAGTGGTTGTACTGGTGTACTGGGAACAGAAAGTTCCAATTGTCCACTGATATTGATGTCAAAATCGCCAGGGATGATAGACGGATGCTGTCCCAGTTGACTGTTCAGTTCGATCAGCGAATCTTGAATCGTCACTATGCTGCGGAATACCGGATCTTCCAGAAGAGAAATCAAAGACTTAATATCTTGAGTTGTGTGCATTTGTAGCTTTGGGTCATTGCAATCTTCTACCCTTTCCTGAACGTGCTCCAATAAATGAAGAGCTGTGGATATGTCTGAAAAAATTAAAATCATGATGATCAATTAATATAACCTAATGGATATTACTCTTGGAAATACATGAATTTATAACACTTTTTTTCAATATATTAAATTTGCATTTACCTGCACTTAGAGGCATTTTGTTTTTGGCAGAATTGCTTCAGTTAAACGAGTATAAAAAAAGTCTTGTGGATCCTGTAAAAAACATGTGTCGTAAATAAACGTGTACGTTGCTGTAATTACACAGTATATTTTATATATCGCGTATTTTTAATTTAACAAAATGAATTTATTAAAATATGTATCTTAACCTCTATAACAAACATAATGTAGAGCGACAAGTAAAATTCACGATCCTTTTTATACGATTTAACTATTCGAGCGTTAAAAGAAAGTTCTACAACGTTATATTAACTATCGTTAACTTTAGCTGCACCATGAATTTATCGTAAATCAATACGTGGTCACTTAAGTGCATCAAATATTAATAAAACTACGATTTTTCTCACCTAAATTCCTTCGAAAAATTGAAGTAGAAGGCAAACAGATCGTGAGTCGATGATTCTCGGGGAATTTCACGGTCAAGCACGTAAATTACAATCGATTCCGTGAAATATCACAGGAAGCATTCAATTGCATCTTGCCATCAGCTGACTATGCCAAACTATCGAATACTTGACAGTTCTTGCCATAGGAAAAGAAAATATAGATCGACTCGACCAATGCCCAACCAATATCAGTGCGTGTGAAAGGCGGGAAAGTTTGAATGTCCACTGTTCAATGTTTCACCATAGTGAAAAGATTAATATCTGATCGCTGAAAAGATTATTTCTGACGATATAATATTAGTAATAGAATATAAAATTATTTAGATTCATTATGTAAATTTTAAAAATCAACGTGCAAAATGCAACAGTAAAATAGAAATATCCTCATATAAATAAGTATGCGGAAGAATTTTAAGAAAAGTTTTAACGTAAAAAAATAATCTGTCTTATTTTGTACGTTATAAATGATAAAATCATTTTGTGTTTCGAGTAAACGTAGAAGAATCTCAATTCCATTGGGGAAAAACCAGAATCGGTTACATGTATATTCATGCATAATGATATCATAATAGATTATCTATTCACGGTACTCCACAAGAAATTACATTTTAATTTTAATCGAATGAAAACTTATAACGAACAGTTCATTAAAACTATCTTATCTAAGCGTCGAGGTTTAATTTAACTAGTCATAATTCTATACCAAACAATTAATCTATAAAAAGGAATTATAGCTCTACTGCAATTAACAATATCTTAATAAATTGACTAACGACAAAGAAACTTAATTAAAATTAATACGATCATCCGAAACTGATTTTGAAAAGGAAAACAAATTACAAACACTTTCTTTGTGTCTCGGAAATCTGCATACAAATAAAATCAGCCTAAAAATAGTCAAGCAATAAAGAGCAAATGACATCAGTCCGTATCGACAGATCACGAAGACCACGTACACCAGTTCGTTGTTCATCCTAGTTGACCGCAAGTGGAAATCTCTAATCCATGATTCCGCTACGAGCGACCGGGCGATCGTCCATCGGCACAATCAACCCGACGCGACATGGTTGACGCTTTGGTGCATCGATTCTCAAATGAAGAACCGATGAGTCCCCGGGGGGTCGTCCATGTTACTTGAAGACCTGTACAATCACATCAACCATCTAACCATAGTATCTGAAAAAGAAAAACAAAAATCATAGATCTGTTCGAATAAAACACAAAATATCTTTCACCCTTTGAAATGTATCTTATAACTGACCGAAAATAGTCTCAATTGAAGACGAGTGTAGAAACAAAGATATTGTTTGC